AGCAGGTACACCTTGAAGCATCAGTGGCTGTGCATGAGACCATGCTGGAGCACCTCAAAGCGTGTGGCCATGGATAAGCCCACGACAATCTCCCAAACCAAAATCTCCCAGCCATCTGCAGCGGCCCAAGTAACCCTGAGAACATTCTTGTATATCCAGTAAGTAATGTGGGGGGAGAGAGGGTGTAAAGGTAGGGAGAAGAGTAGCTATGACTATGAATTTATGGAAGCAGTTACAGAAGTTCAATGTGATAGCAAAAAGAAAATCTCTCACAAAAACAACTTAAAATGACTTTATTTTTTAAGTATATTAGCACAATATTTACAAAATTGTTTCATGTTTCATAAATAAAAACATTTTCTTGGGTAAAGACTATAGATCTATAGATATTTAAAATGTCTATATATTTATACACACACACATCCGTACACACACAAATGGAAACACACAGTTATAAACAACTTTGGTTTTAAATTACTGGTGGGAAAGGGCTGGGTGTATCAATGACTTTTTAAACTCTCGCTTTTAAATTTGTACCCACAAGAAGTCCAGAGCAGAGCCCTTAACGCAACAACAGGATGGGTGGGTTTCTCCCACTTCTGGGCAATCGATTCTGCAGCCTGTACATGGCCACCGAGCTCCTCACATTTCAGCACTGCCTAGTGACAGCTCGGCCTCATCCCACAGTGACACAAACGGGTTCTACTGCAGTTTGCTTTACAGAAGTTAACATAAAGCTATTATACATAATGCTTTTTATAAGGCAGAATACCTCAACAGAATTCCAGTTGGTTTGTTTTTTATTCCTCAACTGCTCAACTTTCAACTTGCCAGAGGGAATCACTAGTTATAAATAGGGAGCTCTGTGTGGTACTTAATCGGGTAAATTCTTACACTGAATTGTTAATGGAGAGTAACCTCCCATCTTTAGGTAGAGATTGCTGCGATTACGGAAAAACCTGTATCAAAAGATTCATATATAGGAGCTCAGATCTTATATGAATACTCCCACTGACAAACTTGAAGGTATGAAAGTAAGCGTAAACCATACGTGCTTCTTAAATGTTTTATCACATGAATAGCCCTCTTCACTGTGGCCAGTTCCACCAATTTCAGTGAGGGCTGGACCATGGGTCTGCTCTAAACGGTTCAGTCCTGCAGCCCTAGCAAGAGGACTGTTTATGAGAGTAAATATTGTAAAATCAGATATCTCAATTTTATTTTGTTGAATTCTTGATGCAAGGCGTCTGCATCGAGACTTGGAGCTCAACATGCAGAGACTTGAATCTCTGCAACATACACCCACAACATGGATATGAACCTTAGTTTATAACATCCAACTCTGAGACCTGCCAAATTACTCAGAATCTTTAAAAACATGGATTTTATTACATTACTGTTTGGCAACAGCTTTCCAAACAAAGTTTTAAATTGTTAGAAGGAGAAAACCACGTGTGCCTTCAAAATATAGTACCTTGGTACGAACAGGAGACAGTGTGAAGACTTCTACAAAGTATACATGAAGTCCAAGAGAAGCCAACTATATTGGAGCAACTCTCAAAATGGCTGTAAAATGTGGTAACGTTTCATGGAATGTGCAAGTCCTAGAAAATTGATTTTTACCTGTACCACTTACATATATACAGAAACTGAGCCTCCTCACTTCTCATCGGCTCCTCCTACTTATTTTCTATTTTATGTACTTGTGATGTAATGGCAGTATATCAAACGTGGGTCAGAAATGAAATAGCTCCTTTTTCCATTCAAGAAAACAGATTTTAAAACTCTGTCAAAAATACATTAAATAGGACAACTCCTATTTTTATGAAGCATCAATGAGTTTTACAAATTCACTGAGTTAAGAAAGCCTGAAATTGCTTCCAGTACCACACACTGCACAACATGAACACACACAAGAACCACATTCAGCATGAAAATTACTAGCTGCTGTGCTCCATAATTCCAGTGCTGAATTAGGCTCCAACAGCTGAGCAGTTTCTCATCAAAGAATACGGAAGAGGCACAGAGAGCTCTCTCACTCGACTAAAATACTGGCCACCAGAGCATACATGACTACTGCCCATGGAGAGGAATACTACCATTTCATGGAATTAGGAGAACTCGGTCAATAACTTGAGAGCTGGGAGTAAACTTTGTACTTATGCAACTTTGTGTATAAGCATTTTATTTATTTTTTTATAAAAGTTTTGCTGAATGTCAGAAAAGAAGTATTTGTACAATCTCTACTTCCTGCTTGTATCATAGACATATGACCATACCTTGCCCATGCACACAAATAAAGAAAACAATAGTCTAAATGGTATTGCAATCTTCGGGCTGAGCAGGCCCGTTATCAAAGCAGTGACTACTGATAGTTTTTGAAAATAATACCACTAAGGATTACTGCAGGGAGACCCTGTAGTGGGCAAACAGTGCTTTTTATATTCTCACCCTCAGTCATACCATATATACCGTAACAAAAGTAAATAAAGATCACATGTGGGCAAACACACATGTTCCTCGCTACAGCTGCTGTGACTATAAAATTACATCATTTATATCAAAAGCACTTTTGCCACACATGCAAAACAATTAGTTTCCTGAATTTCTTCTCTTTGAGTAGTGCATCTTCAAGGCCACGGTGTATCAACAACGGTGTACTTTTCACATATCACATAGCTCTGCAGTTCTGGGAATTAAAAAAAAAAAAAAAAAGAAGATTGTTCGGGAAGAGCAGCAACATTTTGTGCCGCCTACCCAAGTTACAGCTTAATAAAATGACTTATTTTTATTTCAAACTTTGAAAGCACGCTTAGCACTCAAATAATGGAAAAGAGCGGTACTAACAGCAAGTGGTGTTTCAGCCTCTCCACAACAAAAAAGCGGACACTGTCTTGGAGCTCCTGACTCACGAATTGGAATAAGCTGTAGCAGCTCCCAGCCTTAGCTGTCTGGCCTGGCCTGTCTTTACTCCTAATACTGGCTTACTTTCACATGCCATTTTGTAAGCTGGTGTGCTTCAGCATCTGACTCATCTCCCCTTCAGTGTATGTGTGAACTTTCAAGGGAAGGTTAAGGTCAAAAGCAGGTAGAGCTCAAAAGGTTCCTGCCTCCAGCTTGTGTGTCAGAGCCCTTGCCTTCTACCTGTAAAACCTTCTGTTATTTTTAGGAGCCATCTTTCAGGGCAGAAAAAGCAGACAGACTTCTAACCCTACGCTAAAAGTCAAAATGAAATGGATAATTAGCAATTTCTGTGCTTTTGGAAGCTCTACCTCAGCACTAGAAGAGGAGGCAGGTTTTTATAAGCCTACATGAGACCCAAGAAGAAGCAGTCAACTTAGTTAAAATTGGATCTCCAAGCAAAACTCTACCTTGTTCTTCAGCAGTATGTGGTAACTGTATTGATCCCATCCTTATCTCCCTTCCAGTCAGTTTTGAATGCAACAGTCTGGCAAATATCTATTTCTTTCCTGATCTCAAACCACTGCCTTGGAGAACAACCAATAGCCATTCTGAAGCAGGACCTACCTTCCACTCCTCCTACTTCAGATGATACTAACTGGCATACATTTTATCAATGCATTTAGGAGACACCAATGCAGTTCTCCTTTGTACTGCAAAAGTGCTTGTATTCCTATTGTTTAGAAAATAATCCTATGGCATATTTGGATGAATCATGTAGTAGTCATAAGTAACATAAACCTAGCAGTACATGGTATTTGTAAGGCAGCCTGTTTTTAAAATCAATCGATATACCTTTTTCCAATTAGGGCTAATTAGTACCTCATTTATTGTCACACTGTCAATTCATGCCTTCTAGAAGTGGCATGATATAAAAATATTTCAAGTAAATTAACAGATTTGCAGTGACCTTACTCTTTATCCTGACCAGCAAAATGTTGTAATCTGATGCAGAAGTACTAGGCGAAGGGTGTAGTGACACCTCATGACAAGCTTGCTCAGTTTCCAGGAAGAAACAGAAGCACCCACAGCATCAACAAGTGCTCTTTTACCCTACTCCCATGAAAAGGAAGTACAGCTTCTGAATACAAAAGAACCAGTAAAAGACTGTTTTCATTTTCAAAGCCTGAGCATCTAATCTAAAATTTAAGCTCTTCAACGAGAGCAATCTGGCCAGGCAAAGTCTGCTACTCTTCTGATGTATATGAACTGCAGGAACCAAGAATCTGCGCAAACTTGGCTACCCGCTTTAGGTACCAGTTTGGGAATTTTGGGCCAAGTTAATACAGTCCCTCTCATTTCATGGCTTATTATATATTAGGAGGAGTCTATTCACACGTAGTTGGTGTTGCAATCTCACAGGCTGTTATAAAATCAGAAAGGACTAATCCCAGCATTGAGGACATTTCAAGTCGGAAGAAATCTTAAGTTAGGCCAGGACACTGCAACATACATCTTTCTTTACAATATCTGGTAGATCTTTAAACATCAAGCATAACCAATGGGCAGAAACCACAGTGCACCTTTAGATCTTAAAGTTCAAAATTCAGGTTTGTCAAAAATAAGCTGAAGTTCTTTAAGCAGTTCTTAAATTTTGTTGTGTTTCAGTTCTGTTCATTTTTAAACACTACTATCTGACCCTGAAAAAATAATAAATTGAGTGAAATCTGATTGGAATACAAACAGTCCAACAAAACCCAGAGAATTTAACTAACAACTAAAGGGGAGGAGGGGGAGAGAAAGTCTACTTTTAAAGCACTTCCCTATGAACTTCCATGGGAGATCACCAATTAAATATGTAGAGAAGGCTTAGCCATATTAACAACAACCAAAAAACCTACCTCAAAAAACAAATACAACAACCCACCACCAAGGAAACAGCCCATGCATCTGAAATACTATATAAGCATAAAGGAAGCGTACAAACTATTTGACTTTCCACTTTTGATCAGAAACATACTAATTAATAGTTCTCTCTGACTCATCCTCTTCACTGTTTAGAAACACACATTCTTCCCCTATGTATAATACAGAAAATGTATTCTTTATTTTCAATGAAATATCAGTTGAGTAAGAACAGCACCTGCACTGAAACCTGTCCTCCAAGTTTCACCATATTAGCGCTGTGTCCTGGTTCCAGCTGGGATAGAGTTAATTTTCCTCCTAGTAGCTGGCATAGTGCTGAGTTTTGGATTTAGCATGAGAATATTGTAATAACACACCAATGTTTTAGTTGTTGCTAAGCAGCGTTTATACTTAGTCAAGGACTTTTCAGCTTCCCATACTCTGCAAGTGAGGAGGTGCACAAGAAGCTGGGAGGGGGCACAGCCGGGACAGCTGACCCAAACTGGCCAAAGGGATATTCCATACCGTGTGACGTCATGCACAGTATACAAGCTGGGGGGAGTTGGCCCAGGTGCAGCAATTGCTGCTGGGGACTGGCTGGGTGTCAGTCCGCAGGTGGTGAGCGGTTGCATCACTTGTTTTTCCTGGGGTTTGTCCCTCTCTCTCTCTTTTTTGTTGTTTTCCTTTTCGTTAGTTTTTAAAATTATCATTATTATTATATTTTATTTCAATTATTAAACTGTTCTTATCTCAACCCACGAGTTTTCTTACTTTTGCCCTTCTGATTCTCTCCCCCAACCCACCGCGGGGCTGGGGGGGGGGCAGGCAGGCAGGCGAGCAGCTGTGTGGTGCTTTGTTGCCCACTGGGGTTAAACACCACCACACTGGGTAACTCTAAACATCAAAATCCTCAAATACATGTTAATTAAAGTAAATAAATAACTGGAGATATATTTGGACTTACCATCATTCTAACATCACTCCTTTTGCATCTTTAAAAGCCAAGCAAATGGATTAGTAATGAGCCAAACAGCAAGAAATGCTTCATAATTAATATTCAGATTAATTCTAAAATTTGGGTTAGAACTTGCTACTACTCAGCATGCCAATTAGTGAACAGAATAGTTAAAAAAAAAAAAAATTCAGAGTCATCCCTTTCTCACCATAAATTTCCCCCATCTTAAGCACTATCAGAGTTTCCCAACACCATGGAAGAGTTTCTCCAACCCAAAGAAATATCAAAGAACAGAGTGACAAGGATAGCTTTTGCTACTATCGTACGTATTCCACCAAGATAAATGCTCATGAAGAAGAATTAACATCAACTTTCAAGACCTGTCCCTCTTTTCCTCTTAAAAGTTGGACTTTTTGCAAAGCAAAGAGGGCGGATATAATATCCCGAGATATTAGATTTGTCCTAAACCAGTCAAACAATGCCACTGGCTAGCAAGCACAGTAGCGTAGAACAAGGGGTCTGGAGCTGCAGGCATAATTTCATCAAGAGATGAAATTCTTACTGACTCAGAGCCACATAAGTTGACATACCGATCTGCCATCTCAGTGCTGTTGTATTGCAAACTACAAATATTTTTGACCTTTTTCCATAATTTATCCCTTAATTAGAAGATAAGCCTTGAATATCACCTACCATTTAGTGGTTCTTCTACAGCTTTCTGCAAAACATTTAAAAATATATATATGTATAAAAAGCCTTCATGTTTACTTTTGGCTCGCCACAGTTAAATTACTCTAATTGACATATACAGTAAGTAGTGATTCTATAAAAATGAAGAAAGCTGAACGTTAATAAAATTCATTACTAGAGGTCTGAAAAAAAATAAATCAATCAATAACTGCAGTCTCCAGGTTATTTTTTCCCTACTGTTTTTTCTCAGATTAAATACCTCTAGGTGGCAGCAAAAGGCATGCAGATACTACTTTTAAGCTCTAAAACCTGATTATTTCTGTGATTTGATCAATAGTTAGAAATAAAGCAGCACGACTAAAAAAAAAAATAGTAGCCAAGCAATCAAGTGTAATCTCCTCAAAAGGAAATACACCACAGTTGTGCATTTAATCTGGTAGACAATCATCAGAAACAATACACGCAATCTACAGAAATGTTAGAAAAATCAATAACTGGTTAAGATGGCAGATTTCAAAATACGCACCTTTTCCCCCTCAGACTCAAGAAAATATCAAGCATCGTTTTGTAAGTGTGCCCCAGTGTCAAAATCAAGCACTTCACTGACATTAAGTTTTCCATAGCCTTTAGATTACACAGAATCAAAGTGTATTTTCAAAATTACTTCACACCCATTTATTGCCTCGAAGTACAGCAATATATGCTGAACAGCCCTTGATGGAAACAAGCAACATATTATTGTATACACTTAATTTTCCACTAAGTCCTTCTATAACTTCCATAAGTTCATGGGCACAAATTATCATCATCTGAATTCCTCTGTATCTGACCCTCCACTAACTGCAGCTGCAGAAATCATGTTTTCAGTGGCTGAGATTTCCAATGACCTGTAAGTTTTAAAACTTTCTTTTGATTTCATTCCTGTCTCCAATTCAGAGTAACATGGTGTTCACTACTACATAATTGTGGCTGTTTCTTTATTTGTCAAATCCTTGCTGCAGCATAAAACCACCTTGTGAAGAGAACAGCTCATAAAGAGAATGGATTTCCACAAAGGATGTTATTTAGCATGTTAGTTTCTATTTCAAAGTTTATTTACAACCAAAAACTAGGTTAAGAAAGAAAATCTCCTCTTGCTCTGTTTGCTTCCATTCTACAAGTAAACATGAGCATGTTAGATAAAGGCAAGATTGCATTTTGAAAGAAGTGTATCTGTAATACACTTCTCAGCTCATTTTTATAATATAATGAACTTTGTGAACCTCCTCTTTTTCTTTTTTTTTTTAATTAAACTCCACGCACTTACATTCCTTCCATAAGTAAGAGACCAATCCTCTGAAATACTCTTCCTTAAAATGAAGATGGATGAGAAAAAGCAAAGGAAAAAAAAAAAAAAATCTCTGTTGTCCTAACTGCTGTCAGCTCTCCTGCCCCACTGTTAGAAACCATCTTTCTTCAACAACTGGGTCTCAGGCTGCAGACTGAAGAGGAGACCTGGAAATCTGTCTCAAATGATGGCTGCCAGCGAAGAAATGGGATGACTTAGTATTTGCCATGCTCCCCTGCTACAAGGAAATTTTACTGGTATTTTACAGTTATGCCTCTTTGCTTGCTTCTGCAAAACTCCAGAAATCAGGCAGTTCACATTCATGGATCACTAGAAAGCACTGCCTAAGCCTAGGAAAATTACTGTTTTAGGAATGATTACTTTAGAATTAAAAAAAACTGACTGAAAAACCTTCTTTAAAAAAACAAAGTGCTTTTCCATTTGTTCTGTGTGACCTAAAGACAGACACTCTGCTTTTAGATGGTCTCATCAAATTAAGGGGCATTATAGGAAAATAAGAAAAGAAAAAAAGATCAAGGCTATAGCACCCGTATAGCTGGGAATTCAAGAGAATATTAAAGGGTTCTGGTGTAAAAGACCATAGGAAAAAAAACCCTAAGTCTTGGTTCTAAGCCACCTAGATAAAAAAATTCAACAGTATTCTGCACTCACCTTTTTCATTAAGGTGAGCAAAAGGTCTTTATAAATTCATATGAAAAAGTGCATTGTAAAAGAACATCAAACTTCCCTTCACATCCACCACCTTTTTGTGACAGCCCTTGAAACTCCATTTGGGCACAACAGTCGAAGTAGCTGTTAGGTAAGGGTGGCAATTACAGTACTATAGACACACTCAATAAGGACAATGAAGACCACCAACTCACTCAACATTAGACATCTGTTACACAGCCAGAACTTTTGCTTGCTACCAACCTGGTCTGAATTCGAACTAGTGCAGAAAGGTTCAGTATCTCACTACAATCCCCTGAGCCATCTAGTCACCCCAAATTTATTAATTTTAAGCTTACCCCTGGACGAGGATGATCTTTCATTCTGGAACCTAAAATAATTACAAAAAAGTGACCAGGCAGATGAATAAATGTCATGATCAACCGAATAAAAATATCTACTGGTAAAACTTGGAACAGAGTAGCAACACACAAAATTGAAGCTTCCCATATCCAAAACTACTTAATATGATGATCCGCAAATTCTTAAAGCCTCTAAGCACTCTTCTGTTTAAGAACTGAATAATCTTATCACCTACAGTCTGTGAATTGTCTCACTCATGCATTTAGCTCTAAAATTGAATTATGCTACACGCTATTCTTTGTGCTTATTCTGATGTGCTGGAATCTACCCCAACAGTCACATTTTAGTTCTTCAGCCAGAATAATCAAACTACAAATGCAATATTTATGCAGACCATTAGCACACAGCATCAGTCATATATACAAGTAGTCCAAAGTAAATAAAAATTACTTTTATCATTGTTAGAAGGCTTGCTTCACCTCCGCCACATTTTTGACTCATCTTCATCTATCTCAGATATCAAATATTAGGCATTCTGCCCTACTTTCTTCTTTAATGGATATCCTCCCTGACTCAGGGTATATTATTTCTGACCATGCCCACACATGGTATGCACATACTAAACCTGGAAGACTGTATAGTTCAGTGCAGACTAGGGACTGCTCTGACTGTATACACATCAGCTTGAATCTGGAAGTAATATATCCTCAATTGCATGGTTCTGCATCCAAACTAACAAGCTGTTTGAAGAGCCTTCATGCACAGCTAGAAACAAAGTCACTCTCAGACCCAAGCTGTAAAGTCCACATAACGTTATGCTGTGGTGTGCCAGCTCAGAGATGTCTGCACCACATTCCAATCACACAGCATTGCTGTGGTTTTTGCTTATTTAGGAGGCCTGACGGGCTTTTATACCTTTAAATCTCTCATCTTTTTGAAATCTGGTGAACAGACCAGTTTCTGAAACAAAGTATTGCTATTCTTTGCTCCTGGCTTTTAAAATTAAGCATAAGAAAAAATAGGATTCACTAAAATGAAAGGTGTGCATTCAAATTGCTCTTATTTTAACCTACCTCTAACCAGTGGAAATCACTAGGCAGATTTTGCTTCTTCAAATTCATATTCTGATAAGCTTTTGTCTGCGCCATCCCATAACCCACTCTAGAATCCTTGAAATACTTTTGCTCGTTCTAAGCTTCAGCTAGCCAACTGTGTAAAAGCAGAACTTAAACAGCAACATCTGTCCTACAGTTGAAACACTCTTACTTAAGAAACCTGGCTGTGTTGATCTCAAGACAGCTTATGATGATAAACTGCAAATTTCTTTACTCAAGATTCCCCCCAGTCTCTATGAAACAAAACCACTATATACAGACAATTTTTCAGTAATTTTTTTAGCTATGTAATTGTGAAATCACACCTTATGTTCAAATAAGCTATGTCTACCTCTGAAAAGTACAATAGAGAAAATTGCTCTTCTGAATATTTAAGTGCTAAAAAAAAAAAAGGCAGAATATTAGGTGCTACTTACCCATAATAAACATGTAAGCCAGACTAAGCAAATTTGCAATAGCCATAATAGCTAAGCCAGCAATCAAAACAGACCCATGTAACGGAGGACAGGCTGTTAAAAACACAAGAAACTGTATCATCTGACACAAGTAAAAGCACAAACTTTTATTTTTTGATATAACTGAATACTAAAATAAGTAAGCCTGATAAAACCAGATGTGATTAATTTATCTTTCAAAGCTATCCCAGAACTACTTCTGCATCTTTCTTTTTCTGTATACATTCTTTAATGATACAGAGGCATTTACTGATTTATCCCGCTTAGCTGTATTTTCTACTACAGTTTAGCTATTCTACTGTCATTCACTGCAACTGACAACATTCTTTCATTAATTGTATTTTAAATTTAAACATCCATCTTCAGTCCCAATTGTTTTGAACTATAATTGCATTAGATTACAGAATACAATACTGTTACTGATAAAACAGGGTAAAAAATGGGAAGAAGGGAGCAGAATATGAGGGTAGCTCTGAGGCAAATCCACCACAGATAACAGGAATGCTCCACATTTACAGGGATATCACAGAGCAGGAACAGGCTATTACAATCTAACCATAGTTCGCTACAGAAACTCCTTGTTCTCTGATCCTTGTTTCCAGGGACTTGAAATCATTGCAACTACCTGCGAGCTCAACCTAGGATGAGCTATTTCTACTGACACTTAAGGGTCATTCAGCTAAACTTCCAGAGATACAGAAAACATCTACCTTATCTGACCTGTGAAAAGGTCACCCTGAAAAACTAGGGAGACCTTCCGTTTGAGAGCGTAATAAAAACATCCTCCATTTTGTATTACTCTAGAGGATTAATGCTTTACCAGAAATCTCCCCCCAGTTTATTTTACTATTACATTTGACAACACTTAGGTGCCCCTTACAAATACTTCTGTAAATACTAAACAATAAGCACAAAACTCAAATCACAACTCCATTGAAAGGTCTATCATTTCACCCAGATTAGACAAACCTTTAGAAACCACTTCAAGGAGAAATAGTTTTCTTAAATCCCCAACAAAATAAACGACTACAATGAAGAATGTCTCTACGAAACAATAAATCAGGGACATAAAGTGCTTCCAATAAACACGAGTATGTATTCTACTACTAAATATACTGTCAAGGATGCCTAGTCCTAAATTGACCCTTTCCTCTGCAGTGGGGTTTTCTGGTGGGCAGAGGGAAGGCAGGCAGGGGAGAAAGGGAGGGTGAGAGGCAGGGATAAGGGCTATCACTGTGTGCGGTGTTTAGTTGGTGTTCCTTTACAACAGTGACCATTTTTCAGTGCTGAAACAGAATGCCAGCCACAACCAGACTTAAAACAGTCCAAGAACGCTTCCAAGTTTACTGTCCCTGCATTTGCCTTCTTAGGCTGTTTCAAAAAGTATTCGTTTCCCAGAGACTCAGTTATCAGTCACATACTAGCGGAGATTAACAAGGAATTTCTGATTTATTTATTGAACATGAGAAAATTATTATGACTCTAGTTTAGTTTCTAAATACCCTAGGCCTCAGTAAGAATAACAGTGATAAAGGTCAACGTTGGTTTTAGGTGACTCTTTAGGGCACTAACTGTTGAGAAATTTAAAAAATTAACTTTTTTTTTTTTTGTTAAGCAACTGCTCATAGAATGCAGTCATGCTGGATATAGTCATACTAATGAAACTGCTATATGTAATACTGCCTTTGGGCTATTCTTTCACCAGATAAAAGAGCATTAATACAGTAAAGTACATTTACAGAAGTTACTTGCTAACACTCAATGTAGTGAAGCCATTTTCACAGCATTTTAGTGTTACAAATAAAGAAACATCAGGTATAGACAAAAGTAAAAAGACACTTTTACAGAAGATAAATTGCTTACCTGAGACACACAGTGCAAAGCCAACCACAGCAATTACATAACCAAGAATGTGCAAACCTATCAGAGCGAATGTTGCTTGTGGTAGACTATCGAAAACTGGGAAAGACAGAAACAAAATTGTAATTTTTAAAGTTTAACTACAGAGACACAAAAGGTAGATCATTCACATGAAACTAGAAATCAGATTCTCCTAAATTCCAAGCTCAGCCAGCCAGTGTGATAACAAAGTCACTCAGGGCTCTTGTATGTATACACACACCCGCATATAAAAATATATGTATATATAAATAAAATTATAAATATATATAATTATAAATATATATAAAAATATATATATATATAATTTTCTACTTTTCCACAAGTAGAAAAAATGAAACACATACATTCTGAGAGTTAGTTATTCATCCCAGTCCCAAGACCCAGGAAGGAAGAGCAGGAATCACTCAGATGTCCTATCCTAAATCTCATTTTTCAAGCAGGTAGCTTATACTTCTTCCCTGAAGCAACTTAGCCAAACACACACAGGTTAAACATTTTGTTTTGAGATACTAGGAAGGTCAGGAATCCAGGATGCTATTGTAGCACCTATTTATAACAATGAAAATAGTATGTAGATTATGGAGGGGGAGCTCATTCAGTTTTTCTATCAGTATGTTCTTGAGCTAGTGAATAAATTAATACTCACCAATTCCAAACACAAAGTATTGAAGTGGTACCAAAATCACAGCAGGGACTACAATTAGGCCAAGACCAGCTTGATTCTGTGCAGTATAGCCATCTGCAAACATGTATGTGGAAATTAGTAAAACAGAAATCCTTGATTAGAATAAAGCACAAAGCAACAAAAGTAAATCATTAGTATCATCAAGTTTTTAGGGTCCAGAAAAAATCCCACTGAAGCACCAGAAGTCACTCCCTAGCCCCTAATATTCACCCAAGGACAGAAAACAGAAATAAATTTGTAGTCTGTATCTCCCTATGATCATCTGAGGGCCTGACAACCACAATGCTGTTTGTTGTATTCTGTAATATTTTTTCATTTTAAAATTAGTAGATGGCAATTAATAGGTGGTACTAACTTGCAGTGGAAGAGATTCATTTGTGCTCTTATTCCCTTAAACTAGGAAGGCAATTTTAATACACTTACCTTGGACAAAAAGAACAGTGCCTACAACAGCAGCAACTGTGAAGATGGTAACTGCTACAATCATGCCCATTTTCTTCTGAGGTACAATTTCATATTTTAATGCTTAAAGAAAAAACAAAGAGAGACAGAGAGGAAAACAATCAGACATAGAGATTCTCTCACTAAAATACACAGGTTTTATGATTAGGACTGTTGTCCTAAACAAAGAAACAAACTCCTAAAAAATTAGAACTATATATATTACCAAGATTTCATTTGTTTTAATTGTTTGATATGGTTAATATGGCTTACTCAGATAAATGAAACCTGACATTGGTGTTGTAGTCAAATTCTTAATCCACCTTCTATACAATTCAGGTGATATATTATCAAAATAACTTTGGGACACGGTACAGGTTAATTCAAGTAGATGTACTACTGACATTTAAATAAGGTTAAAGTGAATTTGTTACTCAGGTGAGTGTCAGACAGGGATTTAGAAATTCCAGGTTTAATTCTCTTCCCCGTGACACTGTGTGAGCTCAGACGTATCACCTCTGTCCCTTAGGGAACAGGGTGATGTTCCCAAATCACCACAATGCTTTGAGGATGAGTAGATATGGCATGACCTACATGTTCAGATGCCATAGACAAGACTAATTTTCAGTAAAACTGCACTGCTAAATAGCTGCCATCTCAGAAATGGTTGATTCCAGTGGAGGGTTTCAAAGCAGCAGCACTTTAGTAGTCTTTGGAAAAGAAGGAACAGTACAAATACAACATCATAATAAGCCGTGTTTGCTTCTGCCTTATACACTGCTAAAACTAAGACACAAAAAAAGGCAGCTCTTGCGCCGAGCTTGAAAATTAATATACCAACAATCTTGGTATATGTTGAAATTGTTAATAACAAACAGAGAGTAAACAAGTACTGTAAGTAACTTCAAAAAGAAAAACAAGAAGCACGTACAGAATTAACATCCCATTTATATGCACTGTGTTAGCACAAAAAAAAGTATCACGAGGATACAGTAAATATTCTAGAGGGTACATATAACAAAATCTTTAATAGTATCTCATCTATGGAAGGGTTACAGAATACTCTCTCTTGTAGTTAAAACTCTGCCTTTCATTATATTCACATTGCCTAACACAACAGGACCCCAGTCATACTCTCAAGTACTACTGTCATTTAAACCAAAAACTTATTTGGAATAGTAGTAATAGTAAAAACTTCCTGCATATCTGTACTGGAAATTTGCATTTTTTCATATTATAAATATGCTAAATAAGGAAAGCAAGACACAAAGGCAAAAATAAGTAATGGATATGCTATACTTAAATCCTAAAAGCCAACCCTGTAAGCACAAAACCCAAAAAACTCCACCCCAAACCAACCGACAAAAAAAAAAAAAACCCAACCCCACAACAAAAAAACAATACTCTCCATAAAACACAAACCCAAGAAAACATGTATTCCCAAGTGTTACACAGAAACCCAGTTTAACAAACTACTTAAAGGTATACTGTAGCATTGCTGGATTCACAGCTTAACTAAAACAGTGCAAATTAAAGGGGAAAAAAAAAACCCAACAAAAACAAACAGTTAAGTACACCCACATTTATTAAGTTAGAGGTAGCATGATTACTTTTCCCCACAGAGGTCACAGACCTCGCAATAAAGTGCAGAGATGCAAAAAAATCCAAGCAGGCTCAACTTACTCCTGTAAATGACAGTACTTCTCCATGGATGTATCCATGCTTATTTCAGGACAATTATTACTTTCCTATCAAAATGCTAAAAATGTTAAAGTTCTGCTACGAATGCAAGGCAATGACAATTCCTGAACATATCAGAGACTCCTAAACCATTATAAACAATAATGAAAATCAGGAATCTAACACTATGGAAATAACATAATTTTTAAAATATGTATTAGTTTTCAACCTTTGACCACAGATGGACCTTTGAAGAGTCACAAACCACTTTCAGAGGTTCATGAAAAGGTAATAAAGGAAATTATATATAGATGGCTGAATATATAAGTGATTACTATAAATCACTCTGAGTGCAATTCCCTTCCATTTCTTATGGACTCAACTCTAAGCAGAAATTTTTTCTTTTTTAATTTTTTAGAACTCTACAAATTGAGAAAGGCTGAAAAAACATCAAAGACTGATGTAACAAATTGCACCACAGGGAACCATCGGAAAGACTAGCACATAAAGCACACTCTACATTGCATAGATGTTGGACACCAGTGTATAAAGAACATCTAAGGATATCTGACACTGGTGAATGTATTGTCTCTAAAAATATTTAACAAAATCATTGATGCCGGTGTTAAATTGTAACTCAGCTAGTGCTAAAAGACTAATGAACAATTTTACGTTAAGAAGACAGCACCATCCTTCTCTAATATTGATTTTATGACCATAAAACGAAACATGTTTCTAATGATTCAATAATGTCATGGTGAACCAACAGTGAAGAAAAGCTTCCTTGTTCTAACCAATGACAGTAGACATTATCAATTATAGCCCACAAAAATTACACACATGCAAAGAAACTCATCGTTTGCAACAGTACTGGCAGCAGAAACATCACCACATGGCAGACTAGCTCTAAACACAGACCCTTTAGGCTGCACATCATGCCTTTGTCTACAAAGACATACAGCTGCTAAAAATCTTAACCCCAGGAAGCAAGCCCTGGCCTCCAAGCAAATAGAGCAGACTGACCTAGATCCCACTGCTTAGGGCTAGACGACCTTCAACACAGTCCACACTGCATGACTGGGGCACCATGTGGCATGCTGAAGCCCCCAAAAACTCACATCTTTTTGATGAGGTCATGGTTTTTTTCAGTTCAAAGGCCCCAAACTCTGCAAATGCTATGCCAGACTAGTGTTTCGTAGCTTGATGCCAAAAACATATGTTATGTGTCCTGAAAGAGTGCAAGGCTCACTGAAAAGGAAATGGAAGATGATGCAGCACAAAAGAGTGTACCTTGGTGTGCTCTTACTGACCAGGCCTGTGAGTAATAGTGCTTATTAGGAACTATCTCGAGAACTGTATACAAGTTAATTCTCTCATGGTGTTAGCTGATTCATGCCAAAAGAAAGCCCAGAAATGAACATAAGTAACACAATGTGGATGATCAGGAGAGGATTCCAGAGCAAAACAGATGCCAGGTTATTTGACAAAGCAGACGTATCACCCCTCTGTGTATTATCTGGATCAATTCTACCAGACATCTTTTAGATGTAAGCACCATCTTTCATCTTACATGGATGCCTTTATGCAAACAAGTGATTTCAGGACAAATCAATAATTGCAAAGAATTAAAGAGTCAATACTTACCAATAACACTTAACTGAGCCGAACACAAAATAATAACTAAGAACAGCAACGCTATGATGATAGCCCTTTCCACTAGAAGAAACCATGATCCTAGAGAATAAACAAAGAAAAATGGTAGGAAGAAAACAAAAACTGGAGTTATTAGCTTTACATTTATTGCTCCTTTTAGGCTATGCTCTAGATTGCTCAATACTGTACATAATAGTTAGCATTAAGAGTTATAATAGGCTAAGAAAGCTATGACTTCTACCTATGTATTTTTCATTCTGATCTTGTGTGTGACAACCTCTTTTTCCAGTATTTCTAGCTACCCGAACATTTTCCAAACTGGAGGTCTTAACCTCCACTGCAGCAGAGGATATATTTATGCTATTGTCTGGCAGTACAAGCTAGTTAGCTTGTGGAACTACAAACAGCACAGTAGATCAGAAAAATGGTGTATTTAGGCTAAGCAGGGAAGCTGGGCAAGATACGAAAAGTCCAATTTGATGATCCCCCGGCTATTCTGTTCTACCTCCAACTGCTGTAATTCCTGAAGAATTCCAGATGTGTAATAAGGAATACAGGAGCTAACCTAAGTGAGAAGGAAACGCTGCTTTGTTAATTTTAGAAATCATACATGTTCCTTTAGGTCTTCTCACCATCATCCATTTAGCTTTTTTTCCCCCTGCATCTTGGGTGCCTTAGGCTGTTCAGTCACTCGTGCTGTAAGACCGTGTAAGCCACCTTCCAACATAAAATTCTGAAAATACCTCCACTGAACTAGAAAATGCAGTTGATTCTTTCATCTCTGCTCATAACTTCCATTTAGACTCACTCAGCGGAATCCAAAGTCTCCATTTCTTATATTATACTTGCCACCATTCCTCTGCCTGCATACTTGATTCCAAAGAAATTTCTGATCTTCACCTAGATGCATACTCCTTGCACTTACTCTCCCTATTTAAAAGCCATATCTGCAGCTCCAGAAACATGGAATTAAGGAGCAATGCCTCACAACTTTCAATGCCAAGTAAGTACCTTGAGGACAGTTTTAAATTCACAAATTCCCCTCTTCCCCCTCCCCCCGCAAGGGGTCACAGAAGATACTGTGGTTACAACATAAATACAAGGCAATCACAAAATATACTAAAGGCAGAGAAATGGAGGAATATTTGCGAACTTCCTTATCGCCAAAAGAAGCCTAATTTAATGAATTGTTTAAAGGAAGGCTTTTTGCTTCATTTGCATTTTCAAAAAAGCAACTAATATTGAACAGTAACTTCAATGCACAGCTGCCATTCTCTAGATAAGCCAAATCCTACAGGCAAATCCCAGCAATGCTGTTCAACGTAACTGAGAATTATTAATGAATTGAAAGTATTTGCAAGCAGAGACACTAAAGCAGCTTCACTTCCTCTGTAGCATTTCCAGATGACACTACCAGGTATTACAAATAGGAAAAAAACAGCCATGAAGCCTGGTATCTGCTAGGACTTCAGCATGCAACATGGAACCACATATGGTCCAGTCTTAGAGTCTAAAAGCACTTATTATATGGAAATGCTTGCAATACTGCTGGTATATGCAACATGCAAGTAAGAGAAACAGCTGAACACATTTTCCTGGTAATACTTTTCCCTTATTCTGGTGCTTCATAGCAATAAAGTAAACTCCCGGCAAAAAGTATTCTTTTGAGAGCCAATATAAGGAAGTCTGTTCCAAACCAAGAGAGACTTCCAGACACGGGGGGAGCAGGGAGGAGGAAGAGAGGGAGGGAGGAGGAAGGGAGGGAGGGAGGGAGGGAGGGAAAGGAAACAGGGGAGGAAGAGAGGGGAGAAAAGAAAAGGAGAGGAAAAGAAAAAGGGGAAACTTTAC